AGGGTGCAATTAATCCCATCATCCTGAACAAAACCAGCCCCAGAATCGACCCTGGGGGCACTGCACTTGATACTGGCTGACAACCAGACATTGAGCTGTTGATCACTACCCATTGAGCCCGACAAGCTAGCCAGCTTTCTATCCACCTTATAGTCCATTCATCCAATCCATACTTTTTTAACTTGCTGGCAAGAATACTGTGGAAAACCATATCAAAAGCTTTGCTAAAATCAAAGTATATGTAACCCTTCTGCCCGTCAGAAGTGGCGGCAACAAGGGCTGGGTTCAATATCTAGGGGATTCATTCCAATAACACAATGCAAACCGGCTCGAGCCCCCACCCAGTGACCTGGGATAAATATATACCACCCCCGCTGGGCGCCTCCAAGAGGCAATACTTCCCTTCTCGCAAGCACCTAGTCTGAGTGTAGCAAAAAGCCTTTTAATAACAGAGAGAAACAATGTGGCATTATGTTGGGGAAACACCACCAGCAGGATTCATAACACAACCCATGAGCAAAAAAACCCCCCCCAAGCAAATTGAGTCGTGTCCTTTCCCTTTGGTTCTTAAGTCCAGCAACCCGAAATCACCCAAAGTCCCAAAAGTCTCTGTCCCTGGTCAGGGCAGCCCCAGAGTTCAAAAGTTTATCTGCAGAGCTTTACCTCCCAACCTGGGTGGAGATGGGGGGGCGGGGAGAGAGGTACGTGGCACCTTACATGATCTGACGCTGACTGCCCCACAGCTCCATAGGCCTTCGCTCCGCCAGCCGCCCCACGAACTGCTTTGCTCGGCTCCACTCCGCTACTCCACCAGCCCGGTCCACGAACTGCTCCGCTCCACGTCCCACAAGCAGCTCCCATCATCCAATGAACTGCACCACCAGCCTGTCCACAAGGCACTCCAGCCGTCCCACAAACTGCTCCACAATATATCTTCAGGCTCCCCCACTACTTAACACAACACTCAGCAATTTCAGCTCTTTAGTGAATTCAGTTTGTAGTAGAGGTGCCTCAGTGCTGGTGCACTATTAGCCTAAAGTGAACTCAGCAGCCTGTAACTAGACTTCTAATGAAATCAAAATTAGCTCTGATAGTCCACAGTGAAGAGAGGAGGAAGGGTAATTAGCATGTAAGGCCCTCACCAAGGGGCCCATACCACCACATATTAATACTTATCCCCAACTTCTCTCAATTCACAGAGTTTTGGAACCCATGACCCTTGCCTAGCGAGTGCTACTTAGTTGATGGTGAGTCCCTCCATCATAACAAAAGGCCAAGTACAGTTCCAAGCACAGTTCCCATAATCAGGGTAATAACAATTTATTCTTCCTGCCCCAATAACAGAGACACTGGGGATCCCACAGCAGCCAAAGTGACCATTTGGGCAGCTATGTCCTCATTCTAGGCGGGGTGGGTGTGCCTATGCAAATGAGATCGGCCCCTGAAGTTCTTTTCCACAACTTGCCACACCTCACCACCAGATGTCAGGGTGGAGCTCATCCTGACACTGCTTACATCTATCACATCCACTGCTTTCCCCATATCCACAAGAGCCCGTTATCTCATCATAGAAGGCAATCAGGTTGGTCAGGCATGACTTGCTCTTGGTGAATCCATGTTGACTGTTCCTGATCACCTTCCTCTCCTCCAAGTGCTTCAAAATGGATTCCTTGAGGACTTGCTCCATGATTTTGCCAGGGACTGAAGTGAGGCTGACTGGTCTGTAATTCCCTGGCTTCTCTTTTTTCCCTTTTTTAAATATGGGCACTATATTTGCCTTTTTCCAATCATCCAGGACCTCCCCCAATCACCACGAATTTTCAAAGATAATGGCCAGTGGCTCTGCAATCACATTAGCCAACTCCCTCAGCACCCTTGGATGTATTAGATCTGGACCCAGGGACTTCTGCACGTCCAGCTTTTCTAAATAGTTCTTAACCTGTTCTTTCACACCTTCTGGGTGTGGTGTTCTGTCCCATCTAGTGGCACCAAGACCACTTAGAGAGAGTTAAATGAGCCTGCTCTACACACTTACCTAAATAGCCAGTTGGCTTTTAGCTCATGCGGTAGAGGCTCATGCACTAAGCTCCAGAGGTCCCTGGTTCAATCCCACCGCCGACAACCAGGGTCTCTTGGCATTATACCACTGCCATGGTCCCTTGTTTCTCGCCCCATCTGTGCCGCTGCCCAGGACTGGATTAACCTTTTTGGGCCCAGAGCCAAACCTAATTGCGGGCCCCCATGGGGGCAAAGGAGCATGGCCTGTGGAGGTCGATCCCTAGAGCAAGGTGACAGCCAGGGCCAATGGGGCATAGCTTTCCAAGCAGGTGCTTGGGGCGTCAATGAGCATGGGGCAGCAGTCCGTGTCCTGCGGCAGCAATTCGGCAGCAGCTTTGCCTCTCTTCCTGCTGCAGTGGCTTTTGTGTGGCAGCTCCGCCACTCTTCTGGGGGCAGCGGCAATTTGGTGGCAACTGCTTGGGGTGGCAAAATTGGTAAAGCCGCCCCTGGTGGTGGGGCCTGCCCTGCTCCACACAGCCCAGTGCAAGGGCATTGTATACAAACAGGCAGTTGCCAGATGCACACTGGCCCGCCCAGCCCTGTGCTGCCAGCGTGCCCCTTCCTCTCGGGGGTGGGCCCATGCCACGCCACACAGCCCCCGACTCCCTATGCCCAGAGTCCCCCGGAACTGCTATGCCCAGCAGCCCCCCCACACAGACCCTCCACCACAAATGCACAGTGACCTGAGCACCACCCCTGCCCAGCACCCCGCATACAGCTGCACCACGACTGCCCAATGCACTTCCCCACAGCCCACCACCACAACTACACAGCCCCCCACTCAGAACCCTCCACTCCCAGCATCCCAACACACAGACCTCCCCCACCACTGCCCAAAGGACCCCCCCCCACACACACACCCCCGCACACCTCCAGAGACCCACTCCCTCACATCCTGCCCCCCTGGCCACACTTTGCTGGCAGCGCAGCTGGGGCTGGTCCGGCCTCTCGGGAGTGGCGCGATTAGCCAGGTCAGAGTCTGTCCCCCGCCCTGGCCGGACTCCCCCAGGACTCACTTGCGTCCCCATTTGGCTGGGACAGTTCCCTTTTTAGGCTCTGTCCCAGCCGTCCTGACTTTTTTGACAAAAACAGGCATTTATCCAGATTGCTCTTGCCAACTGGTCAACTGGCAAGAGCAAATGAACAAATGCCCAGTTTACCAAAACAGTCCGGTGCGCCCCCGCAGCGGGGCATGGAGGAACATGTGGGGGGGGGGTGGCGACACGAGGTGTCAGGCAGCAGGGCTTGTGGGAGTCAGCCCCACATAGAATGGAGCTTGTGGGGGTTAGGGTCCAGCCCAGCCCCTGCCAGCAGTGTGGGGAGGGTGTCAGCCCCAGCTCCTGGCAGTGGTGCGGGGAACTGGGGCGAGGGAGGGGTCAGCCCCAGACTTGGCAGAGGAATGCGGGGCTCAGGGAGTGGGGGGTCAGCCTCTGGCTGCGGCGTGGGGAGCTGTGGGGGAGGGATCAGTCCCAGTGGCGGATTTAGAGTTAGTGGGGCCCTGTGCTCAGCTTCATTGTTGGGGCCCCTCCTTGGGACCAACCCAGCCAAGAAAAAGAACATTCGCTCATCTCCTCCCCGGCCCCGTTTTTCATCCTTTTTTCCTTCCTCCTCCTCTAAGTAATAGCAAGTAAATGAAAATAAAGTGAGGGATCTTGACTGGTTTTGTAGTCTAACTTATTTTTCCACAGACCACTTGAAAATCGCTGAGGGTCTCTGCAGACCACTTCTAGATCTTTCCAAATAGTGTTTGTGCCCTTAGCTGACTAGTGTGAAGCGCTTTGGAGAAGAGCCCTTTATAAAAACCAAATATGTAAAAAAGCAATGGGGTGCGGGGTCTGGCCAGGCCTAAGAGTGCGGGAGGGGGCTCGGGGCAGGGGGGGAGGGTCTGGGAGGAAGTCAGGGTGCAGGAGGGGGCTCGGGGTTGGGGCAGGAGGTTGGAGTGTGTGAAGTGCTTACCTGGGACAGCTCCTGTTTGGTGAGAGGGGTGCAGGAGCTCTTGCTTGGTACTCAGGGTGGGGATGGGGATGTGGCGGGGGGAGGTCCAGGAGTCAGGGCAGGGGGCTGGGTGTGTGGGCTGGGTTCATGGGGGTTGCTCCCAGGCCCCTGCCCTGAGTAGCTCATGGCAGGGGGCTGCGAGGGCATTTGTAGGGGGAGTGTGGGGGCCCTGCCTTTGCTCCGCCCAGCCCCGATTCCCCCCCCTTCCCCAAGGCCCAGCCCCGCCTCTTCTTTGTCTCCTCCCCCGAGCACACTGCGGCCCCGCCCCCTCCCTCCCTCCCTCCCTCCCAGAGTGCTGGCAAACAGCTGTTCAGTGGCAGGGGAAACGCTGGGAGGGGGAGGGGCGGGAACGTGGCACGCTTGGGGGAGGGGGAAGCTTGGCTGCTGGTGGGGGCAGGCGGAGCCTGTCCTGCAGCAGGAGCCCCTGGAGCCGGCAGGACCAAGCTTCTTCCCCCGCAGCTGCCCAGCCCTGGGGCACTCTGTCATTGGGGGGATTGTGCCAGAGCACCCTGCACAGGAAATGGGTCTCTCTGCCCCACCTGCAACATTGTTAACGCACCCACCCAGGTGGGAAAAAGGATAATGGCTCATGTGACTCAGTTAGGCTTTGGGGATAAATAAGGGAGTGTTAACCAGGAACTCAGATCTTGCCTGTGGTTAACTGGATGTGCTCCAGGTTCCACACCTCGGAGTCCCCGCCCACCAGACTCGTTCCCCCAAAACGCATCTATCAATGGTGAGAAAACTAAGGACAGGATTAACTATAACGAAAACTGGTTTAATAAACAGCGACTCAAACAGGAAACAGTAACTCATAGGACCCCCAGCAAAACAATATACAAAGGGCATACAGGTACAGGTTGGCATGACAAACTGACTTAAAGTCAAGGTCCCAAACCCATAAGGACAAAGGGGAATTTACAGGGTAAGGTACAGAGGTACACAGCATGCTACATCAGGTTCAGAGGAATGGACCCACAACAGAGGACATCATAGATGGAATACATCAGGACAGCAAGGTGAGGACACAGGAGTTCAGGATACAGGTAAGATTGGAATCAATCAGGAACTGATAGCTGGAACTATGGAGTTTGGATCTTCTTCTGTGGTCTTCTGTAGATCCCTCAAAGTCTTGGCTAGGACATGTACTGCACTGCCACTGGGAGGGACAGCCTCTCCTCTTTGGTGCAGCAGTCTTTTATGCTCTCCTGATACTAGGCAGAAAACAGGCCATGTGACCCTTGCTCTTTCCTGCTGTAGAGAGAAAAAGGTGCCAATTTTCTCAAGAAGAAGGTCACCAACATGGTGGACAAACAACAACTCCTTACAAACAAAATGGCAAAGTGTCTAAACAAAATGGAACTTGTAGTTTTTCCCCTACAGGAGAGGCCTGAGTAAAGGGAAAGGGACATTTCAGCAAAGGCCTGGAGAAGATGGCTGAGTAACACCAGAACAGCACAGGGTTTTTTTGGCTTTCTGGAATCTCTGAGCCAGAGTGTGTGGAGTGACAAGAAATCCTGGGGGGTGTGGCTGGAAAGAGAGCAGAAAGCCAGACAGCCACTGTTTTTACCACTTCATTGGCAGAACTGAAATTGGCCCCTGGAAAGAGAACCTTGTTTTAAACTGTGGTGGGGAGCGGTTCAGGTGCCCTGTGGAGAGGGGAAACTGAGACAGAGCCACTGCAGCACCAAGGCAAGCCACGAGGGGGTACTTGGGAGGTAGCCAGCCCTATTCCAGCATCCTTCTGCAGGATCAAGGCAAGCAGATCTGATGGGGCTGTGAAACAAGCAGAAACAAGACACGAACCCGGGTCTCCCCTAACCTCCAACACCATCTCCTTCTTCCATCCCAAAGCTGGGTCACCCAGCTGTGAAAATGGGGCCCCTGGTGATGCTGTGGGGGAGAGCTGTGGGCAGTAGGGGCAGGGCTAATCTGGGGTTAGTAGATGGTGTATGGGCCTAGAAGCCAGGACCCTGGTTTCATAGAATCATAGAATATCAGGGTTGGAAGGGATCTCAGGAGGTCATCTAGTCCAACCCCTTCTCAAAGCAGGACCAATACCCAACTAAATCATCCCAGCCAGGGCTTTGTCAAGCCTGACCTTAAAAACCGCTAAGGAAGGAGAGTCCATCACCTCCCTAGGTAACCCATTCCAGTGCTTCACCACCCTCCTAGTGAAAAAGTTTTTCCTAACATCCAACCTAAACCTCCCCCACTGCAACTTGAGACCATTACTCCTTGTTCTGTCACCTGCTACCACTGAGAACAGCCTAGAGCCATCCTCTTTGGAATCCGCTTTCAGGTAGTTGAAAGCAGCTATCAAATCCCCCCTCATTCTTCTCTTCCGTAGACTAAACATCCCCAGTTCCCTCAGCCTCTCCTCATAAGTAATGTGTTCCAGTCCCCTAATCATTTTTGTTGCCCTCCGCTGGACTCTTTCCAATTTGTCCACATCCTTCTTGTAGTGTGGGGCCCAAAACTGGACACAGTGCTCCAGATGAGGCCTCACCAGTGTCCAATAGAGGGGAACGATCACGTCCCTCGATCTGCTGGCAATGCCCCTACATATACATCCCAAAATGCCATTAGCCTTCTTGGCAACAAGGGCACACTGTTGACTCATATCCAGCTTCTCGTCCACTGTAACCCCTAGGTCCTTTTCTGCAAAACTGCTGCCTAGCCATTCGGTCCCTAGTCTGTAGTGGTGCATGGGATTCTTCCATCCTAAGTGCAGGACTCTGCATTTATCCTTGTTGAACCTCATCAGATTTCTTTTGCCCTAATCCTCTAATTTTTCTAGGTCCCTCTGTATCCTATCCCTACCCTCCAGCGTATCTACCTCTCCTCCCAGTTTAGTGTCCTCTGCAAACTTGCTGAGGGTGCAATCTACACCATCCTCCAGATCATTAATGAAGATATTGAATAAAACTGGCCCCAGGACCGATCCTTGGGGCACTCTGCTTGATACCGGCTGCCAACTAGACATGGAGCCATTGATCACTACCCATTGAGCCCGACGATCTAGCCAGCTTTCTATCCACCTTACAATCCATTCACCAGCCCATACGTCTTTAACTTGCTGGCAAGAATACTGTGGGAGTCCATATCAAAAGCTTTGCTAAAGTCAAGGAATAACATGTCCACCGCTTTCCCCTCATCCACAGAGCCAGTTATCTCGTCATAAAAGGCAATTAGGTTAGTCAGGCATGACTTGCCCTTGGTGAATCCATGCTGACTGTTCCTGATCACTTTCCTCTCCTCAAACTGCTTCAGAATTGATTCCTTGAGGACCTGCTCCATGATTTTTCCAGGGACTGAGGTGAGGCTGACTGGCCTGTAGTTCCCCAGATCCTCCTTCTTCCTTTTTTAAAGATGGGCACTACATTAGCCTTTTTCCAGTCACCCGGGACCTCCCCCAATCACCATGAGTTTTCAAAGATAATGGCCAATGGCTCTGCAATCACATCCGCCAACTCCTTTAGCACTCTCGGATGCAGCGCATCCGGCCCCATGGACTTGTGCTCGTCCAGCTTTTCTAAATAGCCCCAAACCACCTCTTTCTCCACAGAGGACTGGTCACCTCCTCCCCATGCTGTGCTGCCCAGTGCAGCAGGCTGTGAGCTGACCTTGTTTGTGAAGACACTGGCAAAAAAACATTGAATACATTAGCTTTTTCCACATCCTCTGTCACTTGGTTGCCTCCCCCATTCAGTAAGGGGCCCACACTTTCCCTGACCTTCTTGTTGCTAACATACCTGTAGGAAACCCTTCTTGTTACTCTTAACATCCCTTGCTAGTTGCAACTCCAACTGTGATTTGGCCTGCATGCCTGAGCAATATTTTCATACTCCTCCCTGGTCATTTGTCCAAGCTTCCACTTCTTGTAAGCTTCTTTTTTGTGTTTAAGATCAGCAAGGATTTCACTGTTAAGCCAAGCTGTTCACCTGCCATATTTACTATTCTTTCTACACATCTGGATGGTTTGTTCCTGCAACTTCAATAAGGATTCTTTAAAATACAGCCAGCTCTCCTGGACTCCTTTCCCCCGCATGTTATTCTCCCAGGGGATCCTGCCGATCAGTTCCCCGAGGGAGTCAAAGTCTGCTTTTCTGAAGTCCAGGGTCCATATTCTGCTGCTCTCCTTTCTTCCTTGTGTCAGGATCCTGAACTCGACCATCTCATGGTCACTGCCTCCCAGGTTCCCATCCACTTTTGCTTCCCCTACTAATTCTTTCCCTGTTTCCACTCCTGGCTCTGGCACTGACTCACTGTGACCTGGGCCATGTCCTGTTAGCATCTGTCACAGGGAGCTAATGATCTCAGGTCTCCGGGGGAGCAGTGCAAAACTGGGCTGGAGGACAGAGTGCTGCCCCCACACCTTGCCCCATTGCTCCTGGTCGGGGGGAGATTCACCAGGCACCTCTATCCTGCATGCAGACAACACTCCCATAGCAACAGACAGCAGGGTGCTCTGGGGGTAAGCAGCCTCACCCCACCAGAATGAGGAATTAAAAGGGCTTGGTGGGGATAGGGGAAGATGTGGGTCTGGCCAAATCAGGGCGATGCATTAGCAAGCTCGCTCTGGGCAGCCCCAGAACCTCAGCATGGTCCCCTGGCCGTAAGCAGACTGAGCAATCACTTAGGGTCCCGGGTAGCTCAAGGGGGACCCTGTTTGCTTTTCATTATTATTGGGAGGTGTACTGAATTGCCTTACCTGTAAGGAGTTAATCAGTTCAATTAACCTAGTTGGCACCTAACCAGAAGGACCAATGGGGAAAGAAGATACTTTCAAATCGGGTGCTGGGGGGAGTTTTGTTTGTGCTCTCTTTGTTTGTTTCCTCTCTGGTCAAAAAGAGAGACCAAGCAGGTAAAACATCTCCTAAAAACATACCTGAAATGATATGTCTAAAATTACAGAAAATGTAAGTAAAGGCAAGGAAACGCGTTATATTATCTTTTGTTTTCGCTTGTGAATTTTCCCTATGCTAAGAGGTAGTTTATTCCTGTTTTTAGAACTGTGAAGTGAAGTCCAGAGGGGAGTCCTCTGTGTTTTAAATCTTTTTATCACCCTCTAAAATTACCTTCCATCCTGATTTTGCAGAAGTGCTTCTTTTACTTTTTTCTTTATAATAAAGTTCTTCTTTTGAGAACATGATTGATTTTAGTGTCCTAAAGATAAAGGGTCTGGTCTGTACTTATATTAAAGGCAATTGGTTGGTATATTATTCTCAAGCCTCTCCAGGAAAGGGGGTGAAGGGGCTTGGGGGGATATTTTGGGGGAAATGGGATTCCAAGTGACCCGTTCCTGAATTTTTGTTTAAATCACTTGGTGGTGGCAGCAATACTGTCCAAGGACAAGGAAAGGAATTTGTGCCTTGGGGAAGTTTTTAACCTAAACTGGTAGAATATAAGCTTAGGGGGTCTTTCATGCGGGTCCCCACATCTGTACCCCAGAGTTCAGAATGGGGAGGGAACCCTGGCAAGGGGGACAAAAATATTCCTGTTTAGAGCCCCCGATGGGCTGGCAGCACCTCTGCATGACAGTGAGCCTGGCCCTGCAGCAAGACCTGTTGATACGCATCCACCCCCTCAGACGGCTAGTACATACACACATAATCATGCATGACACACGCCCAGCCTCACCACCCCTTGCACACAATCACACCCCTCTCTCACACACACACACACACAGTGTGTGGACTTTTCTCACACGCCCAGTCCAGCCCTTCTCTTCAGCTGCTCTGGGCTGCATGCTGCCCAGTAGCTGCTCCCCTACCCACCCAGCTCCTGTCTCTGTTCCCCCACAGGGGGCACAGTCCCACAGTCTCAGCTGCTAACAGCCTGGCAGCCAGGGCCTGAACTCCACTTTTCTCAGGGCCAGAGGTGTGAAACTTGGTACAGAGCTGGCTCACTGGGTATCCAGCACCTCAGGCTATTAGAACCAGAGCCCTGCGAGGAGGCCAGGGGCATGGTGTAAACCTGCCTGCCTCCCAGGCCTTTTGCCAATTCTCCAAGCTACTCACAAATCAATGCAGCTCAACGATCACCTGTAACAAGGGGGTTTCCTATAGACATATTTCCAGCCACTCGCGGGACCAGATCCTCCCACCATGGCCCCTTTTCCAGCTGCTGGGGGAGGTTTAGATTGGATATTAGGAAAAACTTTTTCACTAAGAGGGTGGTGAAACACTGGAATGCGTTACCTAGGGAGGTGGTAGAATCTCCTTCCTTAGAGGTTTTTAAGGTCAGGCTTGACAAAGCCCTGGCTGGGATGATTTAACTGGGAATTGGTCCTGCTTTGAGCAGGGGGTTGGACTAGATGACCTTCTGGGGTCCCTTCCAACCCTGATATTCTATGATTCTATGATTCTATGCCCTGTGTGACCAGCAAGGTGTGTCCATGGCTTCTTGCCACCATCCACCAGTGGCGGATTTAGAGTTAGTGGGGCCCTGTGCTCAGCTTCATTGCTGGGGCACCTCCTTGGGACCCAGCCAAGAAAAAGAACATTCGCTCTTTTCTCCCCGGCCCCATTTTTCATCCTTTTTTCTTTCCTCCTCCTCCTATAAGTAATAGCAAGTAAATGAAAATAAAGTGAGGGACCTTGACTGGTTTTGTAGTCTAAGTTATTTTTCCACAGACCACTTGAAAATCACTGAGGGTCTCGGCAGACCACTTAATGATCTTTCCAAATAGTGTTTCTGCCGTTAGCTAACTAGTGTGACGCGCTTTGGAGAAGAGCCCTTTATAAAAAACAAATATGTAAAAAAGCAATGGGGTTCGGGGTCTGGCCAGGCCCAAGAGTGCGGGAGGGGGCTCAGGGCCGGGGGGCAGGGTCAGGGAGGAAGTCAGGGTGCGGGAGGGGGCTCGGGGCCGGGGGTGCAGGGTCTGGGAGGAAATCAGGGTGCAGGAGGGGGCTCAGGGTTGGGGCAGGGGGTTGGGGTGTGGAGCTGGTGTCGGACATCTACATCCTGAACCTGGCCATGGCTGACCTGCTCTTCCTGGTGGGGGTGCCCTTCTGTGATGAAGTGGGACTGTTCTTAATGTTTCCTCTCAATAGTGTGGGGGTGCCTCAGTTTCCCCTAGGCAGTTCTTAAGTATCTAGGTGGTGGGGTAAGGGTGTATGATCGTTGCAGAGCCCTAGAGGGCAGGTGTGTGCAGGGGTCTGGACACAGAGAATGGCAGACACCCTGTTTCCTGGCAACTGATGGCCTGGGCCCTTCCCCCCTGCAAGGTGAGAGCTAAAGGGTTGGAGAACAAAGGAATCAGGTGACCTCCTGGCCCGGGAAAGGGACAAAGACCAGAGGAGGAGGGGCTGGAGGGAGTTTCAGTTTGAGGCTGGCTGGGGACATGGAGTGAACTACAGATGTGGTTGTCTGGCTCACTGCCCCCCAAAATGGACCCAGCTGAGGGGTCCTGTTCTCTGCACCTACAAGCTCTGTGTTAGACCATGTTCCTGTCGTCTAATAAACCTCTGTTTTACTGGCTGGCTGAGAGTCCCGTCTGACTGCGGAGTTGGGGTGCAGGACTCTCTGGCTTCCCCAGAGGGTGGACTCGCTGGGGGAAGCACACGGTGGGGCAGAGGATGCTGAATGCTCCAAGGTCAGACCCAGGATGGTGGAAGCTGTGTGAGCTGTGTGTCCTGCAAACAGGCTGCTCCCAGAAAGGAGACTTCCCCAGAGTCCTGCCTGGCTTCGTAGGGAGCAGTTCCGGAGCATCGCCCAGGGACTCCGTGACAACTGGTGGCAGAGGTGGGATGTACTGCACCCCATGGATGGCACTTCCTGCAGTAAGTGACTGGGGAGCAGTAAAACAAAGGGGGATTGACGAGGACTAGGCATGCTGAAGGCTCAGAGAGGAGCGGTTTCAGGGGGCGGTTAACCCCTGGGAGTGTGTGACCAGCGAGAAGGACTGTGCAGTAATGGGGTCCCCCTGCGGACTGCGGTAAGCAGTCTCAGGGGCGGAGGAGCCTGTGGCTTGGCCCTGGGAGAGAGAAGGACTTTTGCAGTAACAGGGTTCCCCTGGGGATTGCAGCGAGTGATCCCAGGGGTGGAAGAGTCTGCAGCTCGACCCTGGCAAAGAGGAGGTGACCTCAAGAAGGACTGGCACCCTAGGGGTTCTCCCTGGAAACCGTGGGGAGCTGAGAGCACACAGGCCTGCGAGTCCACAATAACTTGGGAAGAGCGGAGTGATGGCCTGTCACCGTCTCCTTAAGAAGGACATTGTAACCCGGTGCAGAAAGAGAGGGTTGAGCATTGGAAAGTTCACCAAAGCACAGTTAATTGTGCAGCTGGAGGAGGATGACCGCTCTAAGGATCAGATTCCTGACCCCAAATGGGGCTATAGCAGGATCTGGAAGCAGCTGGAGTAGTAGCCAGGCATCGCCAAGACTCCTGTCCCTGACCAGACGAGGGTCTTCACGATCGGGTTCCCCATCCAGGGATCGGAGATGGACGGGATTGGAGCTGAGTCCAAGAGAGCAAGAGGACTGTGAGAGACAGTGAGAGCCCGAGAAAGAGCTGCAGAAGCAGCAGCAGCATGAACTGGCGGTGGGGAGTGGAGAGGCATAGGGGACCCCCCAGGGGTGAGTGGGGATAGACCCCGAGGGGCCAGTTCCGCAGGGAACCTCGAGACTAAATTGCTGCCCCTGGTTAAGGAGGGGGGGATGTGGATGCCCACCTCACTGCCTTTGAGCAGGCTGGAGATTTGAACCAGGGGGACCCTGTGGAAAAGCCCCGGTGTCTAACTTCCTTGCTGGGTCCCAAGGCCATAGACTCCGTCAGCCCGATGGGTGGGGAGGTGGACGGGCTCCCACTCCTGACCCCAACTTATATATCTGTGTGGAGTTTCCTGGGGCCAGGCCCCTTGGACCCCCAGTGGGAGCGGAAGGTGATGGTCAATGGGGAGACATTCCTAGGGTGGATCCTGGGACAGAGAGAACTGTTGTCAGGCCCTGGGTGGTGCAGCCTCAGATGCTGAGGGGCTGTGTGAGCTGGGTGAAGGTCCCACGGACGAAGCCCCTCACCCTGCCTATGGCCCAGATCCCTGTGCAGACCCAGGAGGAGTCAGGCTGGCTGGCCGTTGGGGTTCTCCAGGATACCAGCTGCCAGACCCTGTTGTGGGGTGACTGTGTCTCTTTGGGACAGGGTCCAGGCCTTGCTCCGGTAACTGCCAAGGGTTTGAATTTGAATCCAGGCAACCAATCGGTGGAGAGGGAAATGCTCAGTGAAAATGCAGATGACCTGGCTGGCAGGGGGGAGGAGCTGCTAGGTTCAGGCTACCTGCCTGCCTGTAACCAGACCCCTGGGGCTCCCCGCCCCCCTTGCACACCGGAGAGGGGGCTCCCGCTGGCTCTGATGCAGTGAGGAAAGCAGTGAACTCGCTGCCTACCCCCATTGGGACAGCAAGGGCAGCGCTAAGCAAGGGGGGAGACACAGGCAGGGCAGGGTATCTGTTGGGAGTGGCAAGGTGCTTGGTAAGGAAAGTTTGGATGAGCCTAGGCGGCCTTGTGAGCTGATGGCTGTGTCTAGTCAGCAGGGTGGGAAGGCGAGGAGAGTGGAAGATGAGTGTCCCTGGACCTTACCTGTTAGCTGGGTGGAGAATTGTGACAGTGAAGGAAACGTGTCTGTGTCTGTCAGGGGTATTGACTTGCCTATGGAGGGAGCCACCCCAGTCTCCAAGCAGTTGTCTGTGACCAGCCTTGTGTGCTGGGACCAGGGGAATGAGATCCCAAGCTGTGTGTCTGGGAAAGGAGAAATTGTGTCCGGCTTTTCTTTGTCTGTGGAGCAGACAGAAGGGGCCTTTCAGCCTGTGATGGTTGAGGATAGTGCAGTTGTCTCAGAGTTGGTTCTGGATTCAGCTAAAGCCCAGGAAGGGAAGGGTCCTAAGTTTGTGTCTGCTCGGGAGAATGGCCCTGTAACTAGGTCGCATCCAGTTAGTGTCTATGCAAAATCCCAGAGACCAGACAATTCTGGTCCTTGTATTTTGCCTGTTGCTAGTGTGTTGTTGGAAAGGGTGGAGCAACTCTGTCTAATCAGGGTGAGATCCTAACCAGGGCACAAGGAGAGCATGAAGGTGATGCGATTGTGTTACCTACTGAGGGTGTAGCAAGAAGGAAAAGATTCCTGAACTTGTGTGTGGCAAAGGGAAGGAGAATGCTTCTGACCTTTTATCTAGGAAGTCTGTAAGTTTGCCTGAAAGGGGATTGTGTAGGAATCCGCCGGATGGGCCAGAGGAAATTCTGGATGTAAGGGAGACCCAGAAAGAGTCTGTTGTTGCTCCGGAAAGTGTTCCTCTAGAGCAAGCCCTAGGTAAAGAGGGTAAGAGCAGAATTCTGTGAGGGGTGAATTGTTGATGATTTAACTGGGAATTCAAAGGGATGAATTCAACAATTCAAAGGGATGAATCGATGATTTAACTGGGAATTGGTCCTGCTTCGAGCAGGGGGTTGGACTAGATGACCTTCTGGGGTCCCTTCCAACCCTTATATTCTATGATTCTATGATTCTATGTTGCATAGAAAAGCCCCTAGGGAAAGGAATCCTCATGGAGTCTTTGCAAGCAGTTTACTGCAACTGAAGGGTGTGAAAATGATTTAATCAAGAAAGTTTCAGTTCCTAACAGCCAGAAATTTTCTGTTGTGAATGAAGCCACTGACTTTCCTGTTGAAAGATCCAGTGTGGATAGCTTTGAGAAGGTCTCAGATGGAGTGAAAGCTGTTAAGAAAGTTAAACAGTCCTATAACCAAGTGGCTGTGTTTGGCCAGCTTGTTGGGGAGAAGACCCAATCCCAGTTTGACCACCTGGGGTTTTGGGGTGGCCAAAGGGCACGGGCCGCATAAACCTTCCCACATGCAGCCTGCGAGTGCTATCGACCACCCCCGACCTAAGGGAGGGCGTGAAAATGGACGGTCCTGGTGTAACTCCCCACCAAGGAATGGGAGAGATGCTGGGGCATCCATGGGAATGTTGGTGGCTTCGAACTTCACCAGGTCACTGGCTAAAGTGACCCCGCTCAGTTTGATCTTGAAGGGGGGAGAGATGTGACAAAGTGGGACTGTTCTTAATGTTTCCTCTCAATAGTGTGGGGGTGCCTCAGTTTCCCCTAGGCAGTTCTTAAGTATCTAGGTGGTGGGGTAAGGGTGTATGATCGTTGCAGAGCCCTAGAGGGCAGGTGTGTGCAGGGGTCTGGACACAGAGAATGGTCTGGGCCCTTCTCCCCTGCAAGGTGAGAGCTAAAGGGTTGGAGAACAAAGGAATCAGGTGACCTCCTGGCCCGGGAAAGGGACAGAGGAGGAGGGGCTGGAGGGAGTTTCAGTTTGGGGCTGGCTGGGGACATGGAGTGAAGGGCAGATGGGGTTATCTGGCTCACCGCCCCCCAAAATGGACCCAGCTGAGGGGTCCTGTTCTCTGCACCTACAAGCTCTGTGTTAGACCATGTTCCTGTCGTCTAATAAACCTCTGTTTTACTGGCTGGCTGAGAGTCCCGTCTAACTGCGGAGTTGGGGTGCAGGACTCTCTGGCTTCCCCAGAGGGTGGACTCGCTGGGGGAAGCACACGGTGGGGCAGAGGATGCTGAATGCTCCAAGGTCAGACCCAGGATGGTGGAAGCTGTGTGAGCTGTGTGTCCTGCAAACAGGCTGCTCCCAGAAAGGAGACTTCCCCAGAGTCCTGCCTGGCTTCATAGGCTTCATAGAGCAGTTCCAGAGCATTGCCCAGGGACTCTGTGACACCTTCATCATCCACCAGCTTGTCCAGGAGCGTGGCTGGATCTTCGGGGACTTCCTATGCCGTGCTGTCACCACCATCAACCTCAACAACCAGTTCACCAGCGTGGCCATCATTGCCATGCTCTGCATGGACAGGTACCCACCAGGGCCCTCTCTGCAGCACGGTCCTGGCCCCATGGGGTGTCCTGTTTTCCCTTTGGGAAAAATATGGTCATCTTACTTCTGGGCAGCCAATCTGGCCTCCAGACTGGGGTTAGCTAGTGTCACTCTCACGGCTGCGGTGTTGGCAGCCATGGCCCAGGCTGTAGTCCTGCGGACAAGCCCCCAAAGACTGAGCTCAGACAGGGCCCGAATGGCTGCAGGGCTGGAATACTGGAGGTGGAGGGAACAGGGATAGAATAGTGGGAGGGCTTCAGGATATAGGCAAAGCTAGGGGATGGCAGGGCTGGAATGGGAGGGAGGGGGGCGCTGCAAGGCAAAGGGGGAGTTGGGGGTGGGGCAGGGCAGAAAGGGAGGAAGTTGGGCCCCAGCAAACCTCCCTGCCTAGCTCCCTCAGCTAGTGTTGAGCTGGCGTAGGGGGTCTGCACCCCCTGCTCAGGGCCTGTGGATAGGGACCACCGGCATCAGCACTTGGGTCATTGTTTCCTGGCCTCTCCAAGCTGGGGCAGCTGGGAACTCTGTCCCCTCTTTGAAACGTGGGGCGCAACAGCTGCTGTACGCTCCCTGTCTTGTCCCCAGCCCCATTGTCACCCCTAGATCCCCCTGCCTTACCCCCCCTCCTGTCCCGTGCCCCCTGATGGCCACTCTCTCCCCAGGTATGTGGCCGTGGTGTACTCGTCCACAGTGGGCCAGAAGCGGACGCTGCGCTGTGCGGCGCTGATCAACGCCAGCGTGTGGGCCAGCAGCCCGGTGATGGCCACGCCAGCCATGCTGTACGCCCAGGGGCAGCGGGAGAACCAGAAGGAGCTGTGCCTCATGGACTTGCCAGGCCCCAGCCACCTGTACTGGTACATGCTCTACCAGTCACAGGCAACCTTCCTCCTGCCGCTGCTGGTGATCACAGGTCCCTCACCCTGCACCACCTGTTCCAGGCCATGTGCCGTGCACGGCGGTGCTGCTCAGCCCGCAGCCGGCGAGTCACCCGCATGGCGCTTACCATCATCGCTGCCTTCCTCATCTGCTGGACACCCTTCCACGTGGTGCAGCTGGTCAACCTGACGGCTGCCCCCTCCGCTGCCTCCTTCTACCTGAACCAGCTCACCATCTGCCTCAGCTACGCCCACAGCTGTGTCAGCCCTGTCTTCGTCCTCTTCTGCACTGAGTTCTTCTGTGAGCGGGTGGCCCACTCCAGGTGGGGGTGGTGCACAGGCTGCTGGGGACGGGGTTTAACCATGGGCCTGGGGTGGGGGTTGTGGGGGATGATGCCGCAGGTGTGCTCATGGCTCCATCAGGCCCCCTACAGGGTAGGGCAGGAATTGCCTTCTCTCCCCACCTACCTTTCCTTTGCTCATGACTCAACCCCTGCTTTCACCCCCCCTTCCTGGGCAATGCCCCCAACCCAGCTTCGCCCCACCCCAGTGCAGAGATAGGGCTCTGTGACTTGTGCCTGGCCTTGAAGGTGTTCTGCGGGAAGTCCAGCCCAGCCCTGCCCTGCCCTGCCCTGCCTCACTGGCCAAGTCAGGCACAGAACCTGCATCCCTGCAATCTGCATCCCCAGGGAGACAGGCTGTATTTGCTCCTCTCAGAAAGGCCCTGCAAGGGCTGCAAACCCTGGATCTTTGCTGGGGATGATCAAAAGCCAGGCAGCTCCTTGGTATGCACCCCCTCCACCCTCCATCTCCTATTCTAGTCCTCACATCTGGCCATAGCCCAGCTCCCACGCCAGGTGTGAGTGCATCCTGGTGAGTGAACCCAGGATTGGGCCCTGCTCCTGGCATGGGCAACGAGCCCGGGGTTCAGGCCCTACTCCCAGCATGGGGGTCTGGTCCCATTCCAGATGTGGGTGGTGAGCCTGGGGGTCAGGCCCCGTTCCTGGCCCGGGCAGTAAGTCTGAGGGTCAGACCCCATTCCAGGTATAGGCAGTGAGCCCGGGGGTCGGGCCCCGTTGCTGGCATTGGGGGTGAGCCCAGGGGTCAGACCCTGATCCCGGCGTGGGCGGTGAGCCCGGAGGTTGGGCCCCATTCCTGGTGTGGGCAATGAGCGCGGAGGTCAGGCCCTGTTCCAGGGGTGGGCAGTGAGCCCAGGGGTCAGGCCCTACTCCCGGCGTGGTGTTGTGCCCCTTGGTGTTGGGCCCCGTTCCCGGTGTGGGCAGTGAGCCTGGAGGTCAGGCCCTTTTCCTGGTGTGGGCAACGAGCGCGGAGGTCAGGCCCTGTTCCAGGGGTGGGCAGTGAGCCCGGGGGTCGGGCCCTGTTCCCGGCATGGGTGGTGAGTCCGGAGGTCGGGCCCTGTTCCTGGTGTGGGCGATGAGCCCAGGGGTCGGGTGTGAGCTATGAGCTCGGGGGTCAGGCCCCACTACTGGCATGGGGTATGAACCTGGAGGTTGAGCCCTGTTCCAGTATGAGCGGTGAGCCCGTGGCTCGGGCCCCACTCCCAGCATGGGTTTTGAACCTGGGTGTTGGGCCCCGTTCCCAGTATGAGCGGTGAGCCTGGAGGTCAGGCCCTTTTCCCGATGTGGGCAATGAGCGCAGAGGTCGGGCCCTGTTCCAGGGGTGCGTGGTGAGCCCAGGGGTTAGGTCCATCCCTCATTCAGGGCTTTTGAAGTTTCAGTCCAATCCCCCAAGTTGGAGAACTGCCCTTGTCTGGGAGCTGCCCCGACCTCTGACCCCAGGCCTCCTTTTGTCCTCCCCTGTGTCAGCAGCCTATGGGAGACCTTGAGATCTGCCCCCTCTCCTTGCTGACCTGCCCCGAACTCCTCAGCCCTCGTGGGTCCTGCTCCCCCACTGACTCTGACTCCTCTGCCCAGCCCTTCCCCCATCAGAGTCCCCTGGGGTCCTCCCCTCTGCTCCTCCATCCCCCCCTCCCTTCTGCCCCAAATCCCCCCTTCCCCACAGATAGTGCCCTGCTCTACCACTCCTCCATCCCTGGAATGACAACCCCCCCACCTGCTGTCTCTCCCGGCCCAAGCCTCCAGCACCTCCAGCTCAGTGTCTCCCCAGCGCCTTCCTTGGCCTGCACCCCCCATGCCTAATCATTGGGGGGTCACAGTTCACCTGTTCGTGCCATATCCCCCACAGTCTGCCCCTTCCCTGCCTGCACCCTGGCCGTGGCAGGACGCTGTTGTTGGCGGGTTTGCAAAGCCCTGGGGGTGTGTGTGGTGCTAGCTGCATTGTAACCCCACTTTCCCCTGCCCTCTCTGCTCCCCTGGCCAGTCTAGTGCCAGCCTGCTTTGTCCTTTCACACCTGGCACATGAGCCTGCACCTTGACAGCTCCTGCCAGCGGCCATATATCTCAGCAGAGCCAGAACTCGGGGTCTGGACAGGGACCCGACCCTAGGGGATCGCTCTGCCTTCGTGGGATTGGGGTAATGGGGATTTGGGTACCTGAGGGATTGGGGTAATGGGGATTTGGGTTTCCTCCCACAGAGCCCTACCGGTCCATGGGCTCTGGCTCCATGAGCCCCACATCTCCAGCTGGAGCAAATGTTGGGATTGGGGGTGAACCTGGCTCCTGGGGGAGTTCAGCCAGGACTACGCGTCCCACTGTAGCTCCCAGCCCCTTCCCACCAGGCAATCGGGTCCCCCATGCCAGGGTCTGCTGCCTGCTGTGCTGCCCCCTGTTGTCGGCACCCTGCATAACAGCCACCTCCTGCATAGAGGGCTCGCTTGCCAGGGCCAGCTGGAGTAGGAATGGCTGTTAACTGTCCCCCTGCCCCGCCATGGGCCAGGGGCAGGAGCCTCAGGTGCAAGGGGCAGCACCACTTCTTGTGTCAAGAAAAAAGCTCTGACCTTCTCCTGCCCCCAGGCTGGTGAGATCCTCCCTGTCCCAACCAGACCCCTTCTCTGCCCATACACTGTTGCCGCCCCATTCTTGGACACTCGTCTTCCTGCTGTGTTGCCTTAGCCCTGATGCCAAGCTGTGCCCATGCCATACAGGCAGCTTGGGCATTGGCACACCCCCTGCCAGTAAGATGCTCTTAGTGGCGTTAGTTGCTGGGGCTGGGCTCTAGAGAGATCCTTAGTTTCTGGCCTGGATCCCCCTGGACCCCTTGCATCCTGGCTGCCCATGTGAGAGCGACTGTGTCACCCCTTCCGCAGGTACTGCAGGTTCATTGCCAGGTGGAGGGTGCTGCAAGTGGACACTGCCCTGCTCAGCCAGGAGCTAACCTCCACCGTCTACAGCCCACAGATGGGCAGCACTGTGGCCCAGTGCTGCCGGCACCCCTTCGGCACCGAGCAGCTGCCATGCTCCGTGACCGAGGCCAGTGTCACCGTCAATGGGCAGGAGGAGCACCGCGCCTTCTAGAAGCCTCCATGCTACCAGAGAACTGACCTCAGTTGGAGCCTACGGATGGCCCCCGCTGCCGCAGCACTTCTTGGCAGGTGTGGGGACAGAACCTTGGTGATGCCAGGCCAAGGCAACACGCCAGGGGCCTCAGCCGTGGCTGAGATGGGACTTTTCACCTCCCCATAGGACAATGCAGATACCTGTCACCGAGGCCGGTGGGAAGAGCCAGTCTAGTTCAACCACCACATATGGGCTGGATGCAGGAATTGCTGGGTGAGATTCTCTGGCTTGGGTTATGCAGGAGGTCAGACTGCATGGTTGCGATGGTGCCTCCTGGCCTTACAGTTGGTGGATCTATGAATCAGGAAGTCTGGGCAGGAAATGGCAGTGACAGAAGAGACGTTAATAAAACAAAAAGAATGCACCAGGGGTGGAGTGTGTGCCACGGAGTGTGGGGGAGTCCAGGCCCTGCACCCCTCTTCCTGGGATTCACTGAGACTCTCAGCCAGCCAGTAAAACAGAAGGTTTATTGCACAACAGGAACACAGTCCAAAACAGAGCTTGTGGGTACACCCAGGACCCCTCAGTCAAGTCCTTCTGGGGGAGCATGGCGCTTAGACCCCAGCCCTGGGGTTCCCTGCGTTCCACCACCCAGCCCCAAACTGAAACTAGCCCCCCAGCAGGCTCCCTTCTGCTGCCTGTGTCCACATTCCTGGGCAGAGGTGTCACCTCCCCCTCCCCCTCCTGGCTCAGGTTACAGGCTCTCAGGTCTCCCATCCCCAGGGCACATTCCCAGGTCAACACTCCCCCCTCCCTGCTGCGTCACATCGTCACAGTCTGCATCAGGAATCACCTTCACTTGCCTGTCTGTCCCGTCTCCCCTCCCCGGGATACCCACAGTGTGCAACACTCAACCGCTGCACATCACACAGGCACACAATACCTGCACTCGGGCATACTCCACATACCCCCCCCCCCCGCATGCATAATTCCCCCAGTGTGCATAGACACTGCACACCCAAACACCTGCACCAATACTCACATGGGCATGCCCTCCTCCAGACACCATGCCAGTGCACACCCACATGCTCTCCCTGTGCACACATAGCCCTCACACATGCCGCCAGGTCATACTTAACCCCCAAATTTAGGTTCAGCAGAAACAGGTTGGAATTTAAAAGAGCCTGATTTACCTACCCCCTTGCCCCGACTGCAACCCAAACATCACTTCAGGGGCTGGAGCATGAGAGCTACAAAGTGAAACTGACAAGAAGCCAAGTGGAAACTGGTGGCATTGACCTGGGTCATGGAGATTATACTATAAAACCCACTCATATGCCATCATCGCTGGGTAATTAAGAAATCAGGGCCTGACCCGCCCTTTCCCCTGCCTCTGCCAGCCAGTGGAGGAAGTGGAGGAGAATCCTGGTGCTGTCCCTTTAAATTCATGCTCCTGTTGGATTTGCCTTGGTGCATTTCATGTCACAGGGGCCATTGCCCTGCATGGGGATTTGCCCCTTTATGCCTCAGGTCCCCCCAAACAGCCCTGCAGACAGGTTCCCATCCTGTGAGCCAGCCGGTTCCAGCCACCCCCACAGGTTCCAGCCAATCCTGAGTTGAACTGTGGGGGACGGACAGCCATTTGGGGAACCCAGGGCTGGGGTAGCAAGGGGCTGCGGGTGGAGAGTGAAGGGCACCAGCAGAACTGGGGTGGGGCAGAGCTGGGCTAGCGGGGTCAAGAGTGAGGGGTGCCAGCAGAGCTCAGGGGAGCCCAGAGCTGGGCTAGCAGGGGCTGTGGGTCAGGAGTGAGGGGCACAGGTAGAGCTGGGCTGGGACCCCAGTGTTCAGGCTAAGCCAAGATGTGGGGGATTCATGTCTTTGCCCAAGCCCCTTCGTGGCCTGGCACATTCACACACCCCAAGGAGGTGCAGGGGCTGGGAAGGGCCTCACACAGAAGTTAAACATTGATGGCGCGGAGCCGGGGGGATCAGCTCATAGCTGGGAAGGGTGGTGCTGGCATTCGTGCCCACAGGGACATGACCTTACCCAACTGTCAACGTTTAACTTCTGCACCAGGACCTTCCCAGCCCCCTGCCTTGGCAAGATCGACCCTCACCACCCCCCCCACCAAACCCCCACCGATCCGGGTAGTTATAGTTACAGTGCCAAAGAAGATGTGGGAGCGGGGCTGGGGAAGGGGAAACCCCAAAGATTTCTAGCAGGATTGGCTTGGGCAGGAGGGGGGTATGGGAGAGAGAGGGAGGGGATGGGTGGGGGGATGGGTGTGTGTGGGGATAGATGGGGGATGGGCTGGTCCAGGGGGGCAGCGAAGGGGATCTGGATCTGGAGCCTTTCCCTGTTCCAGTCTCAACCCAGCTCCACCAGGTGCTGTCCTGGGGCCAGCCCTGCCTGCCAAGGGAGAGTGCCCTCTGCTGAGCCCCTGCCCTGCTCCCTGCCCCACAGCACCCCCTAGTACTGCCCTGGGGTCAGCTGTGCCTGCCAGGGGAGAGCGCCCCTTGCTGAGACCCCCACACTGCTCCTTGCAGCCCAGCGCCCCCTAGTGGTGCAATGGGTGTAGGGGGTGCTCTCCCCTTACTAAAAAAAAACGAGGAGTCTGTGCGGCACCTTAGAGACTAACAAATGTATTTGGGCATAAGCTGACAGTGCAGTGACCTGTTTCTCACTCCAATTTTCAGACCCAATGACTTCACTCAGCCTCCCCGCAACCCCCACCAGACAGGCTGGTCCTGCTCCGATCACCTGCTGGCAGCACTGAAAGCCAATGACCCCAGCCATGCCGCTGGGCCAGGATCTCCACGCGGGCATCCATCACAGGCCCAGCTGCCTGGAGCCCAAGCTTCCCCATTCAAAGAGATGGCAGGTGTCAAGGTTCCTTCCCCACTCTGAACTCTAGGGTACAGATGTGGGAACCTGCATGAAAACCTCCTAAGCTTACTTTTACCAGCTTAGGTTAAAACTTCCCCAAGGTACAAACTATTTTACCCTTTGCCCTTGGACTTCCACTGCCACAAACAAACATTTATCTGGGTTTATTTATTATTTATCTGGGTTTATTAATTTATTTATTTCCCCCAAAAATCCTCCCAACCCTTGCACCCCACTTCCTGGGGAAGGTGTGGTAAAAATCCTCACCAATTTGCATAGGTGACCACAGACCCAAACCCTTGGATCTTAAGAACAATGAAAAAGCATTCCGTTTCTGAAAAGAAGGATTTTAATAGAAGTAAAAAGTAAAAAAGAATCACCTCTGTAAAATCAGGATGGTAACTACCTTAGAGGGTAATTAGATTCAAAACATAGAGAATCCCTCTAGGCAAAACCTTAAGTTACAAAAAGCCACACAGACAGGAATATCCATTCTATTCAGCACAGCTTAATTTCTCAGCCATTTAAAGAAATCATAATCTAACGCATACCTAGCTAGATTACTTACTAAATTCTAAGACTCCATTCCTGTTCTGTCCCGGCAAAAGCATCACACAGACTGTCATAAATATAAAGACAAGGGTAAACCCCTTTAAAATCCCTCCTGGCCAGAGGAAAAATCCTCTCACCTGTAAAGGGTTAAGAAGCTAAAGGTAACCTCGCTGGCACCTGACCAAAATGACCAATGAGGAGACAAGATACTTTCAAAAGCTGAGAGGAGGGAGAGAAACAAAGGGTCTGTGTCTGTCTGTACGCTGCTTTTGCCGGGGATAGAACAGGAATGGAGTCTTAGAATTTAGTAAGTAATCTAGCTAGGTATGGCCTGGTCTACACTAGGACTTTAGGTCGAATTTAGCAACGTTAAATCGATGTAAACCTGCACCTGTCCACACGATGAAGCCCTTTATTTCGACTTAAAGGGCTCTTAAAATCGATTTCCTTACTCCACCCCTGACGAGTGGATTAGCGCTTAAATCGGCCTTGCCGGGTCGAATTTGGGGTACTGTGGACACAATTTGACGGTATTGGCCTCCGGGAGCTATCCCAGAGTGCTCCATTGTGACTGCTCTGGACAGCACTCTCAACTCAGATGCCCGATTGTTTGCCGTTGCTCTGATGCAGGGAGGGGCGACTGACGACATGACTTACAGGGTTGGCTTACAGGGAGCTAAAATCAACAAAGGGGGTGGCTTTACATCAAGGCTTTACATTTCAGGCAGGAATTCACGGAGGGTTCCAATAAGAAATGGTGCACCTAAGTTACTGTTCTTATTGGAACAAGGAGGTTAGTCTGGCCTCTGATTGATACATGGCTAGATTTACCTCGCTGCACCTTCTCTGTGAGCGACTGCAGTGTGACCTAGAGGAATGAGTCCCCTAGACGGGGGCGGGGGGGGGGTTTGCAAATGAGTACAAAACAAATCTGGTCTATTTCTTGTTTTGATACACTCCATCTATCTTTTACATCTTTGGCTAGCAGCAGACAGTGCAGAAGGACTGCATGCCATCCACATCTCATGGCTGCTCGGCAGAAGATGGTACAATAGGACTGCTAGCCATCCTCATCTCTTGCCTGCCCGGCATAAGATGATGCAATAGGACTGCTAGCAATCCGTATCACCTGCCTGCTCACCATAAGATGGTTCAATAGGACTGACTGCAGGACTAAAGAGAATGACTTGATCAAGTCACTCCAGATTTAGTCCCTGCGCCCATGTCTGCCCAGGCGCTCCTGATCAACCTCACACAGGCAACCAGGAGCACCTCGGACATGATGATGACGGCTACCTGTCCTATTGCACCATCTGCTGCCACAAGGCAATGGGTTGCTGCTGCTGTAGCAATGCAGTACCACGTCTGCCAGCACCCAGGAGACATACGGTGACGGTGAGCTGAGCGGGATCCATGCTTGCTGTGGTATGGCGTCTGCACAGGTAACTCAGGAAAAAAGGCGCAAAACAATTGTCTGCCCTTGCTTTCACGGAGGGAGGGAGGGAACGGGGGCCTGACGATATGTACCCAGAACCACCCGCGACAATGGTTTAGCCCCGTCAGGCATTGGGATCTCAACC